TTGCTCAGGTGCGCGCCCACATTGCGCGCATACTTGACGGGCCCGTACATGACAATGTCCAGAGTGTAGGATCGAGAAGTCGGGTGGCCAGGTTCCTCACCGGGTTGCTTGGGTTGTGGCGGGATCCGGCATTCTGTTCTCAAATGAATATTCGAGTCGAGAAGAGGAGCAACAGCACGGGCACTTGCAGCTTCAACGAGACCAATGATCTGCCGCGTGTGGTCGTATGCTTGTATTTTGAACGATGTATCGCCCACCTGCCTCTTGAGTACGACCTTGATAGCGGGTTGATAGCCCGGGCCCCAGAGGCTCTGCACAGAGCCAGGCTTTGGCGAGGGAACTCGGCTGCAGCTCAGCGCCGCCTTGATCATACCATAGCAAACCTCCTCATCGCGAGGGTCTTGTACGACAACCTCTTCATCATCGTTTCCTAAGCAGGTTAGCAAACAAGTACAGGGGATGGCAAGTATTTAGACATACCACTGGTGAGGTCGACAGTCATGGCTGGCGAGGCAGTTGAGCTGTTAGCCTCTTTGCGCTTCTCCTGGACATATCCTCCCAAAATCCCGCTCCCGCCACGGACCGTGGGAGCTTGACCATCATGAGAGCCTTCTCTGTCCTCGACTCGTCGTCGCTTGGCCTGCGGAACTACCGAACGATGCTGAATGTTATTCATACGCTCAATGAATGCACCGGCGCCATTGATTCCGTTCGTGTAGCTGCTTCCTGGGGTAGATGATCGACTAGATGGACCGGCAGACGGGGTATCATTTGGACTTGAGAACTGAAAGACGACGGGGTTATTCGCGTGAGGTCTCTGTAGATTTCTCTGAAGGTTCTGGGATGGTGAAAACTGCCTCTGAGCAGGGTTGGTGAGATCTGGACTCGAGGGCGTCTTGCGATTTGGCTGCAGCAGCGCGGCGGGATTCCATGAGGGAACGGCGTTGGCGGAGCGAGATGACTGGCCTGGACATAACGTTAGAGGTTAGGACGGAGTAACGGATGAGATGAAATGAAACAGATGGCTTCACTTAATCTAGCTTCATCTCGTTCATGAGCTCAACATACCATTTGTAGCCATCTCTTTGTGAATGCCGCAGGTGGCAGGCGGCAGGTTGCAGAGTAAGAGTCAAATTCGCGAGAGGTGTTTCGTGGGTCGGGTTCATGAGAACAAGTGCCGCTCTCATGACAAGAATTACTGTCACGTGGTTGCGGGCGCAAAGAGCAGGTAGCAAGTGCGAGAAATGTGCGACGCAGAAGAGCAACGAGCGAGGGGCAAACACTTGGGCGTAGAGGCGTGAAGTGCAAGGTGCTTTTGGAGGGTTCAAAGGTTGGTTGAAATGGAGGCGATGATAAGCGGCTCGATATCAACGAGCGAGGGGCGAACAAGGAACAAGGGAAGGACCTCAAGGCCCGGCCCCACGGGTGAGAAGAATAATGGAAAGCCGGCAGGTGAGAGCCTATGCAAGGTCTCTGTTCCCTCGAGCCGCCCTGGGCTTTGTCCTTTTTTTTAATTTTTAATAAAGAGGTGCAGTGAGAGTGAAAAGAAAGAACGAGGTGAGGTTCTCAAGGCAAAGTGTAGATTTAGAGAAGCACGTCCCTCGGCGCGTGACAATGCGTGACTTGCAGGCTGCATCGACGGAGGTCACAGGGTGGCTACCTATCCGGGCTTAGCACAGGCGGGCTCTGCGGGGCATCTGCATCGAACAGGAGCACATGATCAAAGAAGCATTCGAGGCTTTTTCCCAAAGTCTGACAATGGAGCGTACGAGCCTGTTTTTTCTGGCGCCAGAGACGCTTGCTGTGAACGGGGACAGTGGTGGGCTGTGAGTCTGTGACAGGGGTGCCTGGAGGGGTGATGGCCAGATGCACTCATTGTCGTCCGTATTCATTCACTATTAGCCTCAGGTGTGAATTAGCTGTTGACACAATGTAAGACGGATTCGGCTGTCTGTAATAGTGGGATTCCTACAATTGTAGGTGCCTGGAATTGGAGTATTGACTCATGCTGACTAGGCAACTCGAATAAGAAGTGTACTTACTATCAGCAGCTGAATGGTCCCTCACACTCACACACAATGCCCATCCACCAATATCTACAATGGCACATGACCGCATTCCGCAGGGGCCAGCTAAACTCTGATAGCTCCAGGAAGTCAAATCAAATTAATAGCTCATAGACTTTCCACGTTGCAATAGCTCTCCCCTCTCGAAAAAGAGCTCCTATCGCTAATTGATTTAGCCAGAAGCAAGCATGTGTTTATCACCAGTCCATCATGAACTCAGACTTATGATGAGGATGGCGATGATGCATGCAGCCGCGCGCTTATGTAATTTCAATTTAGAGAATTTTCGAGGCAGCTGCCCTGACTGAATGGCAGATGCCCGCCCGTGCCGCCCTCCAACCGCTCCACTAACAATTTACCCTCCGTTGTGTGATTTTTTGGTGCCTGCCCCGCCATTTGACAACACGGCCCATGAACCCCCGCTACTGAGCTAAACCTCCACGTCGAGCCTCATTCAGCCTTTATCGCCTGGAAACGTGACCTCATCTTTAGCCGTCACCCTTGACATTGCAGCTCCACAGGCCCAGGCCCCTCCGAGCCTTCACTACAGGCATCTCCATCCGTCATCACCGCCGCCGCCGCCATGGACATCACCAAGTTTGTTGTCCAGGGCCGTGACCAGGCGCTCCTCTATGGCGACTACTCGTCCTACCACCAGAGCCTGGCCAAGCGGCTGTTGAGCTGCCGCAAGAAGTTGGGGATTGTGACTAAGAATCGCGGCAAGTTTCAAGGTCCTGTCAAGGTCACTGCGGAGGAAGTCGCCAAGAACAACGAGTGCGTGTTACCTCGAGCTTCAATCCAGCACTACTAACCCACGATCCAGATATGTCAACCTTCTTCTCCTTACGAGCGAACGAGCCTGGGCTCAGGCCATGAGCATGAAGTCGAGTCGCTGGAGCGACGTCAAGAAGCGATCCCACATCGTCTCCCGACTCGTCAAAGCCGCCCGCACCTCTGATGAACTTGTCGAGGCTCTCTCTCAAGCCGATACCTCTGGCGCCACTCCCACCGACATCCTCGAGGCCAAGGCATATTCTTCATTGATCCACGGAAGCGCCGCTTTTGAAAAGAAGGCCTGGGATGCCAGCTTGCGAAGCTATGCGAAGGCGCGCATCATCTACAGCGCTCTGGCAACTATTACCAAGGGCGATATCTTCAAGGATCTTCTCTCCGAGACCATCGACCCCTCTATTCGCTACGCTGCGTATCAATTGCAGACGCCCCGAACCGTCCCTATTCCCACCATTGCTCGAAAGGCCTTTCCCGAATCCGAATCCGAACTCGCCAACGAAATTAATCAGATCGATCCCAGCATTCTCAGGTCAGCGGAAGAGGCAGAGGATGGCGTTGCCAGTGCCGAGGGCGCGCCCAAAACTTTGACTTGGCGTTCCAGAGAAGTCAGCATTGAGGATGCCCAGATCGCAATGGCTTGGGGTTCTATGCTCGCTGCAAAGGAGAAGCTCGCCCAGAATCTGGCGGAACCTAAGGGACGGGAGCCACATGAGCTAGCTGCTGCCTATGATGATATCCTGATGCTTAGCCAAGACGCTGTCGATGCCACCAAACAGGCCATCGAGGAGATGAAGGGAGAAGGCGTGGAGCAAAGCGACCCCCGGATGCAGAGCCTGCAGATCACGAGAACCGCTGTCAACTTTGAGACAGTCAGCTGGAGAATTGGTCGTAACCGGGTTCTAACAGGACATCACGACGGTGCGCCTGAGGAGTACGGAGCGAAGAAGAGAAGGAAGGGCAAGACTGCCGAAGAGGCAGCCAAGCATGAAAAGGAGCTTCCCCAAGGAAAGAAGCTGGCCAAGCTCAAGGAGAAGGTTGCTCTATACGATGGAACGCTGCAAAATATCGAGTCCATCAAGGAACTACCAGGTGTGGCAAACGACCAAGAACTGGCTGACCAGATTGACGGTTATGTCAAGTACTTTGAGGCCCTCAAGTAAGTCATGCGCCAACTGTCTTGACGATTATAACTAACAACATTATAGGGCTCTGGCAATTGCCCGCTCTCACGCCATCACTGGCAGTGCTGCCAATGCCCTCGCCCTCATCAACCATGCCGATGGACTTGTTGAAGATGCCCTTTCCAAGGTTCCCAAGACCGAAGACGCGGCTGCTCTGAGCTTGACTGTCTCATCCACAGCTGTCGAGCTCCTACAGACAATCCTCAACGGCGAGCTTCAGCGCCATCGCGCTCTTGTGCACATTGACAACCTCCGCAAGAACAACAAGCAGTCCAGCGGCGCCCAACGACCGCTCGTCGAGAGCCTCCATGAGTACCCCTCTGCAGGCGTCAACCTGTCACACATTGTCGAGTTCCCTCCCAAGCTGGCGCTCATCCCCGTGAAGCCCATCTTCCTGGACGTGGCCTGGAACTACATCGACTATCCTAACAAGACGCCGGCGGCAGCAGCTGAGCCTGCAAAGGAAGAAAAGGCTGGCACGGAGGAGCCAGCGCCCCAGCAACAGAAGAGGGGCTGGTTCGGTTTCGGGAGATCATAGTCAAAATACATCAGACCAAAAAGTGATACATGTATCTAGGTCGCCGCTTTTCTGAGCACTCCAACCACATGCCTCCCTTTACAAATAGCGCCGTACCCTAGCCCTCGGTGTCTCGGTGCAGTTCTATCCAAAATGCCTTGTCACCCAGGTGCCCGGTCTGTCTCCATTCCAGTCCAGAGATAGACCATCTCGGTTCTATCAGCACCATGTCTTGGCGTAAATGATGTCTTTTGTTTACTTTCACCGCCTCGTGTGATTCTAAGCTGTGACCTTTTTACATGGCTAGCTCCTCGTCTGTGCTCTTCTTTTCTTGTCTGAACTTTCATCCTTCTCGGGATCCTCGCCATGCCCTTTCGTCAGGCGGGGCCCTAGTAATAACCCTTCGAGTTCTTCTATCCCTTGCTGAGGTCGACTTCATCCAACATGGACCACGATACGGTCAGCGCAAAGCCGCCGCGGCATTGGCAACCTCAGCCTCCTCCCTCATGGCCAGGGCTAGGTTGTCCAGCTCCAGCAACAATTGTCGCCATGGCCATTATCCTCCTTGTTATATCCATCTTCATCTCTGTCCTCCGCCAACTTCTCGAACGCCGCCTCGCTCAACGCAGAGGCTGGTTCCTCGAAACACCATCCGCGCCCTCACCAACCACCAAACCAAAGCGCAAGAAGAAGGACGAGCGCAAGGTCCGTCCTGTGTCCGAGCTCGAGATTGAAGGTCGCCAACTCCTCTTTCCGGACACAGTCACCCCCGGAGAGCGAGTGCCGCTGCGCGATCCCCATGCGCGGGGCTCTCTGTACGATACTTTTCAGCTGCCTACAGAGCACGCATCACGATTAAAGCACGCACGGTCTATGATGGAATTGAGTGGAGGAAACCCGCTTGAAGGAGCTGATGAGAAGGATGGTTCTAAGAAGGCCAAGACGATTCATTTACATGGGGTAAACAGACTCAACACGGCGTGGGCATGGATGTCATGATACGCAAACCTACCATCATTTTTTATTTCCTTATCTATCATACCAAATAGCATCACCTGATAACATGCATCATGATCACTGTGACTTGACAGACCATTAACTTCATCGAAAGCATCGATTGAGGGGGGATGTGTTATTATTCTACCTACAACAGGTTCGTCATTGTACAAGTATATGCAAACACTGACCCCCTTTCCGTACCATCATCTCGTAAAACGTCCCAAGATCTCTCAATAGAGGTTTTAAAGCTCCAACGCCTGTTCCGCCAACCCGAAATCAAGGACATGGGTAAAAACTACATACGGCCAGGGCGGGATATGAATACAATGGAATACATAGAGAGAAGGGTTCTAAGCCGCGTACCCCTCACTCCTCATGATATCTTTTTTCTTTTCTTTTGTTTGTTTTTCCAGCTCCGAGATGTCAAATCCCTTAGGGCTTGTTCTCGTCCTTCTTCTCACCCTCCTGAGACTGCTGCTGCTCACCAGAGGGCTGCTCGCTGCTCTCGTTGCGGGCCTTGTGCATCTTGTCGAAGAGGTTGAGGGAAGCGACCTGGAGCTCGTCGACCTTCTCCTTGATCTCAGCAGCGGTGGCAGTGCCCTCGCCAGAGAGGTTCTTGGCAACGAACTCACGGAGAGTGGTGACCTTCTCCTTGATAGAGTCGGCCTCAGTCTTGTCGAGCTTGTCGGCGTACTCGTTGAGGGCACGCTCAGTGTCGTTCAGGACGCTGTCGGCACGGTTGGCGGCCTCAATGGCACCCTTGCGCTCCTTGTCAGCCTCGGCGTACTTCTCGGAGTCCTCAACCATCTGCTGGATCTCGCTGTCGGAGAGACCGGAGCCAGAGGCGATGGTAATGGACTGGTCCTTGTTGGTGGACTTGTCCTTGGCGTGGACGTGGACAATAGAATCGGCGTCAATGTCGAAGGTGACCTCGACCTGGGGAACACCACGGTGGGCAGGGGGGATACCGACAAGCTGGAAGTTTCCGAGCAGCTTGTTGTCCTTGACGAGCTCACGCTCACCCTGGTAGACCTTGATCTCGACAGCGGTCTGGAAGTCAGCCGCAGTGGAGAAGACCTGGGACTTCTTGGTGGGGATGGTGGTGTTGCGGTTGATCAGACGGGTGAAGACACCACCCAGGGTCTCGATACCGAGGGACAGAGGAGTGACGTCAAGGAGTAGAAGATCCTTGACCTCACCAGACAGAACAGCACCCTGGATAGCGGCACCGATGGCGACAGCCTCGTCAGGGTTGACGGACTTGGCGGGGTCACGGCCGAAGATGCTCTTGACGGACTCGCCGACCTTGGGCATACGGGTCATACCACCAACGAGGATAACCTCCTGGATCTCCTTGGCCTGGAGGCCGGCATCCTTGAGAGCCTTGCGGACAGGCTCGATGGTGCGGCTGATAAGAGGGTCAACCATCTTCTCAAGCTGAGCTCGGGTGAGCTTCATGTTGATGTGCTTGGGGCCGGAGGCATCAGCAGTGATGAAAGGAAGGTTGATGTCGGTAGAGAGAGAGGAGGAAAGCTCGATCTTGGCCTTCTCAGCAGCCTCACGGATACGCTGGATAGCCATGCGGTCACCGGACAGGTCAAGGCCGGAAGTCTTCTTGAAGTCCTGGACCATGTGGCGGACGAGGTGGATATCGAAATCCTCACCACCAAGGTGGGTGTCACCGTTGGTGGACTTGACCTCGAAGACACCGTTCTGGATCTCCAGGATGGAGATATCGAAGGTACCACCACCAAGATCGTAGACAGCAACGACGCTGTCGGTCTCCTTCTCAAGACCGTAGGCGAGGGCAGCAGCAGTGGGCTCGTTGACGACACGGAGGACGTTGAGACCGGCAATCTGACCGGCATCCTTGGTGCTCTGACGCTGAGAGTCGTTGAAGTAGGCAGGGACAGTGACGACAGCGTTCTTGATGGGCTTAGAGAGGTAGGCCTCGGCGGTCTCCTTCATCTTGTTGAGGACGAAGCCACCGATCTGGGAGGGGGAGTAGTTCTTGTCCCGGGCAGAGACCCAGGCATCGCCGTTGCTGTGCTGGATGATCTTGTAGGGGACCTCCTTGATGTCGCGCTGCACCTCAGCATCGCTGAACTTTCGGCCTATTAATCGCTTGGTAGCGAAGAGGGTGTTCTCTGGGTTAACGACGGCCTGACGCTTGGCAGCGACACCGACAAGTCGCTCGCCATCCTCGGCGAAAGCGACAACTGAGGGGGTAGTTCGGGCACCTATTGCGTACTGTTTAGTGGGGAGTCGAGTGAGCGAATTGATAGCTAAAACTCACCTTCAGAGTTCTCAATGATGCGAGGGACCTTGCCCTCCATGATGGCGACAGCCGAGTTGGTGGTACCGAGATCGATACCGATCACGGCGCCCTGGACCTTGCCATCAGAGGAAGTCGACTCATAGCGAGCAAACTTGGAGGCGAGAGGAGATCGGGCGAAGGCAGCCGAGCGAGCGACGATGGGGGAAGCTCGGGGAAGCTGGAAGCGGTGGTGGTCAGTATAGATCAAGCGATTGAGGGGCAGTGACAAGACTTACAGCTCTCGACAAACGCGAAGCCAACATCTTGATTATTGTAATGGGGGTATAGAAGACAGGAAAGAAAAAAGGATGAAGGCGCAAGTCGGAGATTGAATGGGGGAGAGAGGTGTTTTACAAGATGGATGGAGGCAGAGGATTTGAGAGGGAAGTGGAGGGAAGCGAATTTTTCTGTCCCGAGAAAAAATGGATGCTCAGGTTTCTTCCCCGGTCAATGCCAGCCAGTGGTCAGCCATAGAAGCCGAAGGAAAGAGGCAAGCGGCGTCCCCACTGGCCGGCTAGGTTCGGACCATGGTTATTCCCTACGGAGACCCACTTTGAACCTCCCTGGAGGCTCTGGCCGAGTTTTTTAACTTGACCGGAGGACCAGCCGATGGCGGTGAATGTAGAGCATTGAAATGCGGGAGCAGGGAGTAAGTGCATGGCTGCAAGATGTATATCTGATCTTTGAATTCCCAATTGAAGTTTTTACTCATATCTCAAAGTTTTGGCCCTTCGCCGGACATGAAACTCCAAAAAGCAGGCAATGCAAAGTCCGAATGTGCGGGGCCAAAAACACCCATCACCAGCATCGGACTCGGCGATGAGGGCCCGAGTTGCGCGCGCTAAACAGCCCGCCGAAAGCGCTTCCACCCCCAGCCACCACCGAAGCCCATTGCCCCGGAGTGGAGCAGTGCAGAGAAAAGAAAAGCTGCACCGCACGTGATGCCGTCCGTGCTTAAAGCTCGCCCCCGGACAGGGACCTTCGGCGCCACCGGGTTTGCGACAGGTTCATGCAATTGGCCTCTGAGATGGATCTCAGAGGAAGTTTGGCCTTGGTGGAGGATACTATACATTCTCTTGCCTGACTGGGCCCGGCGTTGAGCAATCGATTGCTATGCTCTCAAGTATCGGTGTCATTGAATCTGCAGGCTTTAGACATGTCTTGGTCACCTCTACTATTTGCCATTCAAGAGAGTTTGAGGAGGTACCTATCATAGACCAAATTGCTGATGCATCATGATGTAGCTCTCCATCTGCCAGGGTGCGCTTATCCCACTTCCCGTCAAAGGACACAACCTTTCTCTGGATAAGCAGGCCGAACAAAAAATCCATCATTGGCTCTGTTACTGGACCAATAATCTTGATCCTGTTCTTTTTGCTCATGTCAGCACACCTAGCGGGCGCCATATCCATATCCCAGTGCTGTGGTACTCTTTACCCCGACGAGAGCTGCAGTGGTAGCCGCTGAAGCTCCATTTGGTTGGGTCTACTAACCCAGTCGCTACCTACATAACTTCACCACCTTCATCACGCCAGACGTCATTCGCACACGCTACATAAACCCACTGCCATCAATCGCACGACCCTTTGCCGCCGACCCTCGTTGCTACTTTGCCTCTCTTCATCGATTCCTCGGCCATATTCGCACCTGAATCACAGATACCTCCCCATCTCTTCGTGTTCGCCTCCAGCTCCAGCTCCAGTTCTCTCGCCCGTTTCGCCCGGTCCCTAGGTCCCACAACAGCTCAGCTCGCCCGCCCGTTCCAGCATCTGACCGTTGGCCATTTCAGGAGCTTAAACGTCGTCATCACATCTCCTAGTGTCGCAACATCACCCCTATCGCCGGGTGGCCAAACGCCCGTCGACCTCTCAACTCATCGCTTTAGCTGAGAGGCGGCTTGGGTCAGGATGGCGGTAGACGAGAGCGAGTATGACTCCCACGCCGCCAGATCGCATCGTGGCATTACTACACTTTTCTGCCATCATGCCCTCCCATGGAATGATTGCTAATAACCCATAGGATCTATCCCACCGAGGCCCTTGTCTCAAAGCAGTCTCGAAAACATTACCGCATCCCCGTGCGCCCGCAGTACGTCATCATCATACATCCCATCCCCTTCTTGCGCTCATGCTCATGATACATGCAGGCACTGGCAATTACGCTCCCTCGTCAGCGCCGAAAAGAAAAACATTGTCTATTTCCCGGGAGGCAACGGCAGTAACCATGTCCAACGCCTAAACACCACGACACGCGAATGCGAAACCATCAAGCTTCTTACCTTTGCGCCCCGATGCCTCGTCGCCGAGAAAGGATGGCTATGCTGCGGTAGTGAGAACGGCGATTTCGTGGCGATGCAGCTCGACGACGGTAATGATGACGATAACCAGAACTCTTCTCTCGATCTTGATCCAGAAACCCGACTTAGCCTTGGACTCGATTCGACCGGTGAAGGCTCCGTGTTTTCTCTGATATCACGAGCCAGACGATCCAATAAGAGTCTCATAGCCAAAAGCATGAAACTTGCCAAAGACCGAGTCAACTGCGTCACCCTTTGGTTTCCGCCAACTAGTCTTGCCGCTCATGACAGGGCCTACACCGAGCCAGTGGCAATCTTGGCCAACAACGACAGAACCGTGATCCTAGTCAGCCTTCATGACTTTGACCAGAAGGAGAAAATCGAACCTCTGGATGTAATCACCTACCCCGACTTTGTAAACCGTGCCCTCATATCTCCAGACGGCCGTCTACTAATCGCCATCCTCGACGACCCGTATCTCTACGTCCACCAGCGAGTGAGGAAGCCCTCACAATCAAGGTTAAGAGAGTCCACGGGATATCAATGGGAGCAGACGCAGAGGATACTTCTCAAGAGCCAACGCAAGGATGACAAGACTGATAGTCGAGGAAGCTTTGCTGCTTGCTTTTCCGAGTCGGGCGCATACCTTGCTGTTGGCACCCAGCATGGCACCATATCAATCTTCAACGCTGCCCTCCTGTCGAATCCTGATGCCGACCCTCTCATAACGTCCTTCCAGTCTTCGCGGCCACACAGCGGCCCTGGCGCTGTCAGAGACATGGCGTTCTGCCCAGGCCCATACGGCATACTAGCCTGGACGGAAGATCGAGGGCATGTTGGCATCGCTGACATGAGGAGCAACTTTAAAGTCCGTCAAATTGTTGACATTGAAGAGCCAGGCTTCGAGCACATCAACATTCTTGACCGAAACACAATCGACCCACGACTTTTGGAAAACCGCCGTGATCGACGAGACAATACCACGAGTCCAGCAGGCACTGAGATTTCAAGGCGACGACTAGAGATGCTTGAGACTCTCAACACCCCCCTAACCGCAAACGAGACTTTGGTTCTCGAGGCCATGCAGCTCGGTCGTCGCAACCGAGAAAGACAGGCAGTTGGAGATACAGATGAAAGGCCAATAGCTGGGACGAGTACCTTGTGGGCAGAGAGGTCGACTCGCCGACCCGCCAACGACAATTCTGGGAGACCTGAAGAGCGACGGAGCAGCAGTATTGGCCGTGCTATGGGAGACTTGTTGGGTACCTATCGTGCTGGTGATCGCCTTCGCGGAGCTCGACCGATCGCACGGAATACGTCTGACACCCCTGAGAATGGGAGAAGGCCAGAGCAGCGGTGGATGGAGAGTCTTGGAGATACTGTGGCGATGCTTCGAGAGCAGCGCCAGAGACAAGACTCGTCCTATCTCACTGTCCTCGAGATCCTTCAGGCCAGGGAACGAAGCGGCGACCGTGACCAAGATGACACTTCCATCATAGTTCCTTTGGTCAACCAGGTCGTCACGCGGTGGGAGGACGATCATGGAGGCCTTGGGATGCCGCCTTCGCCTGACAACACGGCCGGACTGGCCTGGAGTGAAGACGGCCGCACCCTGTGAGTATTACCCCGTGTCCAAGTCGGTGCCCCTTTCTAACTTTCAAACAGCTTCGTTGGTGCTCAGAACGGCATCTACGAACTCCACGTCGACGTACAGAGCCGAAAGTTTTGCCCAAGTGTTTCGATGAGATGAAGAAAAGGGGGAGGACATGACATGATTTGCTGGCGTTGGCGGCTTTTCTTGCCGGTCTCTTTGGGAAGACCGATGCGCTTGTTCCCAAAAGTGATGATGACACATAACGACGATAGTTGCTTTGCTTGCTTGCTTGCATGGACGTGGGGATACCTTTGAGAAATATCATGTTTCCTTCTGGCGGTGTTTTTGATTCTCGCCTCGGCGAGTCGACTACCCTTCGCTACCTAACCTATGGTAGGCTGTCGTTTTATATGCCTTTTTGAGCATGAATAGGATAAATCGGAACAGCATCCGTTTCTTTCACAGTGACTGTTCCTTGCCGTATACGAGTCCTTCGACCTCCTCGGCGATGGCTAGCGAACTCGTCAATCCGGGGCTCTCGATGCCTAGTAGGTTCACCCATCCTTCATAACCCTCCTCCCTGCGGATCACAAAGTCGTGGAACCCCTTGCCCTTGAGCACGGCGCCCTGATCCGCCAACTTCGGTCGGATGCCGGCGTAGTCGGCCACAAGGTCCTCAGCCTTGACGCCAGGCAGGTACTTTTGAATCTCGACTATCGCCTGCGGGAGCCGTGTCGCGTTGACGGCTAGGTCATCAGGTCGGTCGACCCACTCAACGTCCGGTCCGAAGCGTACACGGCCCGCGAGGTCGAGCGTCAGATGCGTGCCGAGCCCCGCGGCGCCGGGCTCCGGAGCCGGGTAGATGAGGCGCGAGATGCGCGGGTGCGATGCAGAGTATGAGAAGTAGTTGCCCTTGGCGTAGTACAGGTTCTGCTGCCGGTCTTCCGGCACGATCATGTTGTGGATGGTCGCGGCACCGAGCCCGGCCGCGTTGATGAGAGTCTCGGCTGTGATGCTCGACGTCTCACCGGTCGAGGCGTCCTTGACTTCAATTTCCCAACCTTCACTGCCAGGTTGAGCACCGAGGGGTTTTATACCCACGACGGGTGAGTTGAGAGCCGCCACACCGCCGGCTTCCTCAAACAGTCCCAAGAGACACATCATGAGTCCATGTGAATCGACGATACCCGTGGTTGGACTATCAAGAGCACAAGCAGCCTTAACTCCCTCACCATCACGCTTCACCTCTTCACCGGTGACCCACCGCGTAGGAACCCCAAGCTGATTCTCGCACAGCGCATGAATCTTTTCGAGGGCTTCCCGCTGAGCCTCATTCTGCGCAACGATCCACTTGCCAGTGCGGCGGTGGCCGACGTCGTGCTTCTCGCAGAGCTCGTACAGCAGGTTCTTGCCGCGGATGCACAGCTTCGCCTTGAGGCTGGAAGGCCCGTAGTAGATTCCCGCGTGGATGACCTCGCTGTTTCGAGAGCTCGTCTCGGTGCCCACGGCGTTGTGGCGCTCGATCAGGACGGTCGAGTTGTCGCCGCGCTGCGCGAGCTTCCGGGCTATGGCGAGGCCGACGACGCCTCCACCTACAACCTATCAGGTACTGTTAGTGCACGTGCTTTTGATATGAGTAATTGGCTGTTCTATGGCAGACAATGTCTAGTTTTTTCCACTATTGCTAAACATCTCATGATGGGGTCGTCGGGCGGGATGTATCGGGAAGCGAGGGACCGACGCCGGCTTCGGACATGGCATGATGAAGAATAGCACTTACAGCATGAGTGAAATCCGCCCTAGCTACTGATGTCGAGCTAAAGTTGAGCTTCTGAATGCCTCGCCAGTCAGACGTCACAGATCTCACCAGTGGTCGCAGCATCATGGACATTGTTGTGTTGGTGTTGTTGAGTTGGTTGTGAAGAGCTGATATTCGGTCTACATGATATATCTGCCGAGCTGGCCAATGACGCCATGTCAACGGCGTATACTGCCCCTGGGCCGACATAACTAGTGCAGGAACACGGCGAATTTTGCATCTTATCGTCCATCAGTTCGGTCATGGATGCTTTGTTTTGTTATTCTCGATACCATTTTAGTCCAGTTCGTGAATAAACGCCGCCACGAGTCCACCCACCCGCGTAAGCCCGACCCAAACTCCAACTCCAACTCCCATAAGATTTTGTCATTCACAACCAGTCATTCAACCATTCATTGCTTCATTGACCCCTTCAACCCTTCATCCCATGCATCAAAAACACACCTAAACGCCACGGTGATTTTCGCACTGACTTGATTTACCTCATACACACACAACTGTAGTCATCTGCCTTACCCTGAAGCAAACCCGCTAAACTCCCCAACAATGATGCTTAATGCTTATCAGCGTCTCAATCAACCGAACCACAAGTTTCAAATTCAGGTTTCCTTTGGCACTTCGGTTCAAGGCTTCTCCTCCTCCTTTTCAGCCGTGGTGGAAGATCTGGTCAGGCTGGAGTGGTGAGGGGGCTCATGGGCAGTGGGGGAGCCAGTGCCCACATCAGATAGTTGTTTCTCTAGTCACAGCATTAGTACATATAGTCCCATACTATTACTCTTGACCGGTGCTTACCTAGCTCCCGAATTCGATGGCGAAGCATCTGATTCTCCCGAACTAGCATCTGAGTCTCGGCCTGGTAGAAGGCGCTCTCATCTCGGCCGCCAAGAACCCAGTCCCCGCTTTCGCCGCCGATGGATGTCGAACGGAGACGCGGGGAAGCACCGCTGCGACTGGGCGTTCTAGATCGTCTCTGAAGGTCTGCGCGAGCCATGTCAAACGAGCTTCGGGGGTGGCGATGAGTGGCGGACCGGGGACCCGAGCCGCCAGACGGCAAGGAGGGAGGGATCGCAATCTGGGAGCTCGAGGCATGAGGCGTCCCATGACCCGACCGCTCAGAGATGGCGCTGCTATCGTCAACAGCAGAGCTCTGGTTTACGTTCTGTGGCTGACCGGCCTGAAGCCGTTGGAGCTCAAGCTGCTGCTGTCGAATCATCTGCAAGAGGCGGTTCTATCAACCGTTAGTCAAGATTGTTGCACATGACACCTAGTCCACATACCACATGAGATTCCTGCTCCGCCTCTAGTTCCTGATGGAGCTCGCCCAGACTGGGCGCTCTATGATGATGAGGGTCAGCCAACAGGGGCGAGCCAGAAATCGGTCGCGGGCTCGCAGTTGTGAGGCCGGATTCTTCGCTGACCATCTCGCCGGGAGCTGGTATAGATGGGTCGTTGAGCTGGAGGTTCATGAGGACGGTAGATCGACGGCGGCCGGCTTGAGGTGAGGATCGATGTCGGGAAAGGGAGCTGCTAGACGAGCCTGGTTTTTTGTTAGAGAGACACAGACCATAGAAGTTTCCAGATGGAGTCGTACGTCGAGTGGGCTCGTGCTGGAGTCCCGCATTCATGGTCGCGGCTGCTTGCAACGATATCGAAGCTGATCGCGGGGATCTGGTCGGCGACTCGTTGCGGGGAACCGCGGTGCCGTCTGTTGGAGAGGCCATGATATAGGGTGGTACTTGGTTCTCTCCTGAGAAGTGATGTGGTGCGCAAGCAAGATGTTCGAGGCAGTAGAGGCGAGCTGGGTCGGTGAAGACGTCAAGAGTCAATGGATGTTTGCTTGCTTGTCAAGGTGACGACGATTGGCTGAGTTAGGTCGGCAGTTTGGAGGGGTTGATGTGGGTAGCAACAAGCTGACGAGAGCTGCAGGTTGACGGAATACGTGCTAGAGCAGGTGCTCAGGTAGATGATAGGTTAGAGAAAAGGACTGATAGCAAAACATCTAGGGTCGTGGTAGATGATAGAGAGACGAGGCTATTTGTTAGGGATCGTAGAGTCCATGATGAGGATGCGCCGGAGTTGCTGAGTGAGGATGTGGCCTGCTTCTGCGCCGATCACGACCCCTCAGAGCTCTGCCTGTCAGTGGTCACAGGGCGCGTCAGTCGATGGCGGGGGCTTGACCAGCCCGCTACAGCCTTCTGCACCCCGCTGAGCCTTGGAGAAGGCGCCCTGTGACGTCTCTGGGTCCCCGGATGACTGGGCCTCCATCCGTGACTGTCTCTGTTCTCGCCTCCTAGTGACGTCTCGTGCCCGGCTTCGAGTTCATGATTTCCTGGTCGTGGCCATGATTCTGACTGATCGTGACGGGGCCTCGGACTTGACCTTGCCTTCGGCTCGGTACTGTTACTGATTCCAGCGCCGACACGGTTCGGTTTCTTGGTTTGCTTCGCCTTTCGGCGACTAGGTACCAACAGCGAACGACCTGCGTCTGTTACACAGCGCTGGACTGCAAAGTCGGCCAAGATCCCATGTAGATACGTAGGCGCTAGGTCCGGAGAGAAGAGCCTGGACGCTTCTTGTGTCACCCGCAGCGTGCATGCATGTTCTACTGAACCTGAACCATCGACTCCATCTGCTTCTCCGGGCACAAACCCGCCGCCAAGAGTTTCACTCACCAGCAGTGACTACAATGTCTGACGACGCCATACCAACGATAGTAGCCACGAGGAACCCATACCGACATCGCTCAACCAAGGTGTGACAACTTCTCACCGCTCTCGGAGCACCATAGACCTACATTTGCTCGATAATCATGACCAATTATCAATGCTTCATCTTCACGTTTCGCGATTCCTTTGCCCGCGTCCCTCGTCCCAACATTTGGATGAACATGCCTGTACCTCGCATGTGTCAGACTGATGATTATCACGCTGCGCTGCATCTGGCTCTGATACCGAGACAGGTTAGCCCATCAACCTCGGCGACTCATCAGCCCTTTCAAATGCGAGAAACCAGGACCTCGGTCCGACCTGAGCTTCCTCTTCACCACATACACTCTGTAGGTCGTCAAGACCAGACGAACACACAGACAGGGGACGAATGCAAGGCCCTCCGGAAGGCCTCAACGCCCGGGGTTCCGGGGAAATGTGTGCTCCTGAAACGCTTCCGCTCAACATCACAGAGTAGAGGTGCTGAGAACAGGCCATCTTGGTGAAACTCTGATGTGCCTAGCCCCAATCACCTATCCCCAGCCAGTGAGAGAGCCCAGGCCAAGATGCAGCGTTGCGGGCGTGCGCTGCGCACATGGATAGGAAGCCATGGTCCTTGCGAATGGGCGAAAGGCAAAAAGAAAAGTTAATTAAACCCAGACACGACTGTGGCCGATGGCGGAGAAAAGAGAGGGTCTCTCCCGCAGTCGAGTCTTGTCCTTGTCCCTGTTGACGGTTTCATCTGATCCCAAGATGCTGAGAGCAAGCCTCCTTTCAACGTTTGAGGAGGAGATTCCACTCGTCCACGTTGGACGGATACTCTTGCCAGAGAACATCTGGCCATAGCGAGTTGCATGCTCTTCTGCCTACCCAGGTAATTAAACTCATCTCAGTGTGGGGAGCTGTTGGTTGGTGGGCGAAGCAAAAACAGTCCGAAACAACTCCGTGTTTGTTGGAAAAAGCAAAAAGAAAAGATGAAGGCAATTCGACTTAGCTTGCCAGCGTGTTGGACATTTTCATCTTAAGCTCATCTCGTTAGCTCCCCTCACCGCTGAGGACGTTGATTAGCAACGCAGATCCTTCGACGTGTCCATGGATCTCACAGCCAACGTGACATTCCGCAACCTCACCCTAAGTCTCACCGTCTGATCCGAATAGTCCAGCCATTCTGGCGGTACTGAACCTGTGCCAGCGCCCTTGTCGTTTACGTAGCCCCCGACACCAACTACCGCGGCCGCGGCCACAACACCCGGCACTAAGAAGCTCCTGTCTGCCTTCTGTAATCGCTTACCACGGCTGATCCCAAGTTGATGAGAAAACCGGGCCTGGAAGGCTCTAGAGATGCTCCACCACCCAGGAGCAGAAGCCTGATGACAAGAGAAATCCTGTCTCGGCCCTGGCCTAGTCCACATGGGTCTGGATGGAGCCGAGACATCCTAGATGGAGCAGACTTGGCTGAGAACCGCAAAAGCCGGACTGATCCAACGTTTACGGATCGTCCAGTCTCGATCGCAAGCAATGTTTGCTTGCTAGATAATTTCCGCCACACGAGCGGCAGGGAGGAACTCGTTACGGGGAAATAGGGTTGTCTCACGGCGCCATCCTCTCAGGTCGCCCGTATCCAGGTCTGCAGCAGCGCCCCTCCAATCAGGGCAGGCGTTTGACCCCGTATCAACAGTGGCATTGGCTCAGTGGCCAGAGAAGCGAAACCCGAGCCAGACAGCTCCGAGTTTAGTCGCCCACTACTGCAGGAACGAGGCCAGCCGATCTGCATCTTCTGCAGAGCCCGTAATTCAAGCCCAAAGGCGCGAGTTCCCGCATAAGCTTGCGTGCCTGAGTTCCAGAGGCTCAAGTATCTTCAATGCCAAAAGGTTAGTGCCTTGTGCGATACTGTCGTGGCTGGATGGATCAAGGCTAGGCAATTTAGGCGAGCACACCGATGCTATTTCGATCGATGACCCAATTTGCCGGACCTAGGAATACCCAGGATGCCTGTGGGTGCGTAGAAGAGTCTAGCGATGACGGCTCCTTGGTGCTGACGAGTTGGAAAAGGCGCACCCGGACTGGATGTGAGCGGAACCGCACATGGCCCAGGCCGTTGGTTGTGTCTTGTATCTCCAGAACCACACACCGAGTACAGGCGTACTGGCTTGCACAAAACTGCGAAGGACAGCAGACGCTGTGCAACTTGACGGTCTAACAGGTGGGCATAGGCTCGCTTGATGAATGAGACGAAACGACCGGTCCATTGAGAACCGTCGCGGAGAGAAATTGCTGCCTCTGTTGATGTGATTTAATCATCGGATTGATTTTCGAAGTGCCGAGAAAGCCTTTGCTCATGCAGGAAGTCTATAGTCCGTCGAATTATGACTCGGGGATCTTGTGATTAGTATGTTCTATGTAGATGTTGAAGTGCACTTGTTGTCAACCGACGTCACTCAAGCAAACAAGAATGATCCCAGCACTGAACTGCACCAGCTTCTCCTCACGTGCAACCTGTACGCTGTGTGGAGAATGAGATGCATTCTGTGAGCTGTCCAAGAACTTTTGGATTCGAGGCAGGGAACCCAGCACAGACTCAAAGACGTCCTGTTCTTCCGAGTCCGCAGTATGGAGATGAACAACAAATCGTGTTCGCTAAATGGTGTAAGATGAGAGGGTAATAAGGCGAGTGGGAAAATAGCCCCTGATGTTGGATAGTGTTCGCTGTTGGCGCCGCGGCAGATGCAGGCTCGAGGATACAAATCCGGCCCCTGTCACACGTTTCCTCCGAATGACCAGCTGAGGTTGAGAGCGAGAATGGAATCGCTCGTTTTGTGCCGTTTCCGCGCCGATCCCGAAACAAGAGCCCTGGTTTTCTGGCTTCTCAGCTTGATGAGGCTTGCCAGCGCAGCGGCCAAGACCCTTTCTGTGATCCTTGTATTACCGATTGACTGCTCAGGCTAGCAAAAATGACAGCAGAAGGGTAAGGGTTGCAAGGTTGCCTTTGGCACGTTCCCAGCACTAACACCGGCTCCCGTGCTTGCGAGACACTGGTCTGGCAGCGATTGAGCCCGGACCGCAGGTTGTGCTTCCGTGATGGGTGTTGTAAAGTCTAGCTTCAGCGATGCTCTCAGAAAGAGTTGTTGCGCAGCCGTCCCGGAGGATCTCGCATGCGCGTGATGCCCTGCGGGATGCCGAACCTTGGGTTGGTAGATGAGGGCTGACAGGCCAAATCATTTTGGCACAGGAGACAAAAGGATCGGCTTGGACCATCGAAAGATCGTGACTAGAGCCACCGTTACCACCACTGCCTCCGAAACGCGCGTGCAGCCTGCGACACAGCGGTTTCCTTTGCTATTCGCTGTTAAGGGTGAGCTGCAAGGATTTCCATTCCTGGAGTGGGGGTGACATGGGGGGTTCTAAGCCGAGATGCTAGGAAGAAACTGGGATTAATAGATGCTGGACTTGTCACAAGTTGAGAAACTCCCGCTCAACCCTGCCCATGGCTCAAGGGTTTGGGTTAGGAGGTCAAGGCGGCTTGCTTACCCCTGGCCCCCGAGAGGCTAGGTTGGTTCCTCGAAGGCCGTGGCACTTTGAGCCGACGGCGAGGCTCAGCCCGTTTAGGAGAGAACAGAGTTCCTCCAACCCGTCTGGGTGCCGTGCGCAAGTAAACTCTTTAAAAATCGATCCAGTGTGCCGTCTGGCGTCGTGTCGTGTCGTGTCGTGTTAAGCCGTGTGTCTTGTCTCAGCCAATTACTGGGCCGTACAAAACCGTCGCG